TCAGCTTCATCATTTTATCAGTGAGAGCAAGCAGGAACAGAAGGGGCTGATAACATTTCTGTAGCCTCAGTGAGAGGTTGTTCCTTTATGGACATAGCATTCACAAAAACACCTGAAGGCAGGCTACCTTTCAGTATTCAGCACAACGAGCAGAGTTAAATTAGACAGCAGCTCCTGCTAGAAGGCTGCTTGGTTTTGCCGGGAAATAGAAAATCGCATTCTTTTGCCGGCGCACCGGTAGGTAAGTTACCTGCCCAGGAGGGAGGTCAGCCGCCAGGGAGGTTGGTTACCCACCCGGTAGGTAGGTTACCCACCCAGGAGGGAGGCCAGCTGCCCGGGAGGTTGATTACCCGCCCGGGATGGAGGTTATCTGCCCGGGAGGTTGGTTACCCGCCCGGGAGGTTGGTTACCCGCCCGGGAGGCAGGTTACCCGCCCGAGAGGGAGCTCGTACAGCGGGGCACCATCGCCAGCGGGCGGCTGCTGTGAAGTAAGGAAAAGCGGCGCGTTGCCGGCTGGCATCTGAGGCGTTTTGTTGGTGACAATATGTGGTGTTTTAAGCTTTTAATACGTTTTTACTTGCCTGGATAATTCCTGATTAAAAAGAAAAAAATTACAAAATCAAACTTGTGTGGGTTTTTTTCACGTAAAGGGGCCCTCCTGTAAATTTCCTTTCACAGCAACTTCACAGCAGGCACAAGGAAACTGGGAGAACCCTGATGTGGTAAACCAAGGTAGTCAATAAACATAGGTTACACATGCATAAAATGCTGGAATTAATAGCATACCTAAGCTTAGTTTTCATTTTTTGTTTCTGACTTGGAATAGCTGCAAATCACGTGGAAGGAAGATAGTAATGAAAGACAACACCTCAACATCCTGCATCCTCCAATAATACGGGATTTTTAATCTAGAGGCAAGAACGCAACACAGAGTAAGGAGGAAAGGGTTCTGTTTCCAGATTCAGTGAATTATCTGTGTGACCTTTTAGCTCTGCTCCTTTAATTCTGCAGTTATAAAATTACAGCATTATTCAGCACAGTCCCTTTGATGATGTCCATTCGCGGAATGAGCTGATTATAGGAAGAGCTGATGCCACCAAGCATGGTGGTGTGACAGAGGCACAGAAACAAGCAGAAAACAAACAAAATATGCGTAAATATAAAACACACTGTAGTGATGCTGTTCTCTTCTGTCAACTGTGAGTGCTTTTTTAAATAAATACTTTCTACATTTTTAAAGTATTTAGAAGATAGGATTTTGGCAGGAGAGGTTTCTTCACTCCCCTGTGCGAAATCATCACCTGTGTGCTCTGGCTCTTTCATTTCTTTTCTCCCTGCTATTTGTTTGTTTAACATGGAAGAGCCAGTTGATCTTGCTCCCTGGGATGGCATGGAAACCAGTGAAATTTTCATTTATTACAACCGTTTTGGTGTTAAAACAACTAGTTCCTCTATGCCCCTTTAGGCTGATGCTCCCAGCTGATAGGTCCAAAGGAGACATGTATTGAAGGAAGGCATAAGCCCCCTGCATTTCAGTGCTGAATGCAAATATACCTAAACGTGCATTATTAGTAGGGATACAGTTTGACTCTGATTGCTGTCTTTTCTTCCATAAGGTGTGAAGCAAATGAAAATGTAGCATAAGTTGAGCAAGATTCAGTCTCTTCTCCCATACTCCACTAAATCTTCCATTTTCTGGACTTTTTTTCCTTTTGGTTTTGCTAATGACCATGTGCAGTTGTGAAATATTTCCAAAGTTACAAGTGTTTACTGGTTGCATAAAAATGGCCTTATGAGACTGATGATACAGATTATGGTATTGATTTATTTAGTTTTAATCTGTGTGTTGAGAAATGTTTTCCTTCCTTGTTTTGATTAACCATCAGCGTGGTTAAAGGAATTGTTTTACTGAAACATCAAAACGTGGATTTTATTAGACAAGTTCAAGCAAAAGCAGTGAAACAAAAAAATTTCAAAGTACATTCTTTTATTTTACTTCTGTTGTCATCAGAAAGTTCCTCTTAAATGGCTTTAATCTTTCGTTTAGCCATCTACTGAAACAAATGGCAAAATTACCATAAATATTTTCTAGATGTTTTTGTTTACCAAGATTTAATAATATTCCAGATGCAGATGTTGAAATCCTAGTCCCAAACTCAACAAGTTACCCATGACAACATGCCTAAACTGATGAGTAATGTGATTATACACATGTGTTTAACCCTCTTCATGGTTCAAATATTTTTCATGACTGAAATGTCTCGCTGATCCCTGTAGTTAGATTGCACGAATCTTGATCTAAATGTTCTGGATGTTGGCAAGAGATGACTATATTTTGAAGTAAATAAAGCCTGTTGTATATCAAAATAGCCAGGCTCTGCAGGTTTTCAAGCTCCCATTCCCCCTGCCACCCATATTCCTAATTTTTATGCAATGTCCTGTGCTCTGATGTGCCTTAAGTATGGGACTCCTAGCGCAACGTGGTCAGGACTTAAGCCCTCTGAACTGGTAGAAGATGCTATGTCACTGATAGACAGAATACCGGCACCTGTGGAAAAAGAGAATTTTGCTGTTTGATCTAAGGGGCATAAGTTAGATTTCATACGTGGCAGCATTGCTGTGTCTGGTTTTTTGTGTTGTATCCCACCATCACTTAAAATTTTGATACTCTTTCTCCCTCCATATGGATTTGAACATGGTGAGAAAAGCAGGACATGCTGCTGTTAAAGGAGAGTCTTTTTAATAACTTACACTTTGGCTTTAGGAAGATGTAGTCAGATATTAAAGAAATACTCAGAAAAAATACAATCAGTTGCTGATTGTCATCAAATGTAACTTTTAGAAGAGGAAAAACATGTGCTAAGGCAGATGTTAACTAAGAATTACTCTTTTCAAAAAAAAACATTTCATGGTGTTGGATCCCTTACTGTCATGCCTTTATTCTGTGTCTAGTTGGAACAGTATTTCCAGAGATAGTTAACAGCATGGTACCAGGCATCAGTACTGAAAGCTTTATTACTTTCTAGTTACATATGTTGAGTAAGGATGTATATTCTTAGTTGTGATTGCTTTCTATTAGCCTTAAGAAGACCTGTACCAGTTATATACAAGCCATATTTTCAATTTAGTGTCACAAACAAATATATATTATTTTAATTGGGTTAATTGTGCATTTTTGTCTATTCACAGTATTGCTTTATTGTGGCAGATGGCCCAGTGTATGTGTTATAAATACTTTTCATGATATCCCCCGTTTTACTGATCTTCACTGTGACTTTCCCATTGGTAATGACTAATTACAGTTTCCTAGCCAGCAACTTTTAATAGATTCCTTTCTTTTCTTAATCTCTGCCTGTCTTCAGCAGCACTATTTTATTCAATAATTTAATCAGTTCAGCAACAGTATAATATTAGATGATTTAACCATTACTTTATGAATTTTTGAAATGTAAGATACCCACGAAGTAATCACTGATGAATATTTCAGTATTGATAGAGACCACTCTCTTTTCTGAAACAGCAGAAAGGGTTTTGCTATCTACGTTTGAATGCTTTTGCTTTCCTTTTATTTTTATTTCTGTCTCTTGGTTCTGAGAACCATATGCAGTAAATAGGAAGGAATCCAATAACCAGAAAAGTTAACAGAAAGCATTAACATTTTTGCCTACCCATCATGACCATGTTAACCATTCAACATCTACATATCAGAGGGCAAGTTTATACAGAAAAAATTCCATTCATCCCTGTCTGCTCTTATCAGTGAAGATTTTTCTGCAGAAGGGATTCCCTAAGGCAGAACCAATTCCAGGTTCATCCTACCTGTGTTAGCAGACAAAAAGATGTAGATGCTGCAAATTCAGTGGGAGAATAACAGTGCAGAGCTCCGTATAGCCTGGTGTGATTTTTTGGGGAAACTCCTGGACTCAGGAATTTCTGACTAGAACCCTTTCTCTGTGAACAGGATCAGACAGTCGGCTGGCTCATGCTTACTGTCCGTGTGTTACTAGCAGCTGCTATGTTGTGCTAAGGTCAGTACTCCTCACGCTCCCTCTCTTTTGTCCAAGAGATTTCATGAGACCAAGCAGTAGTGGAGCGGAGCTGGCAGGTGGCTGTACGACAATTCCAAGATTTCACAGCAGTTTGTGAGATTTCACAGTTTAATTTCACAGCTTAATTGTATTCTTTCTCAGAACAAAAAATTACTTCAAACAAGAATGCTGCACGAGCCCTAACCACAGTCTGTATTTTGAAGCTTGCGTTGCAGAGATAAGGAGGAACAGGGAGCTGGCTGGAGCATGTTATCCCTCAGACACTAGGATGGGTTTGCATCTCAAGTTTAAAATTAGTAACTTCATAGCTTTCATTCACAAATGATTTCTGCACACAAAAGCTCCTCATAACTTTTCTTCCACCTCCTCCCCCCTCCTCAGAGTGCTATAGGAAGTTCAACTTAAAAATGCTTTAGCGTTTTTCAAAGCAACACATGTGTTAATGCAGCTACCCTGGCTACCTGCCTGCATTTCGAAGCTGTGCGGTAGCTTGTTGTAGACTCTTAACTGTGCTTGCTGATGTCAGGCATCTTCTCAGTGTATTGCTGCTTACTCAGTGTGTGATTTCTTTCACCTACTGAATGCTGATCCTGATAGTTTTAATTAAATCTGCCTTTTCTCACATGTGCTGCTGAAGTCACATGAAGGGACAAATTCTGCCCTTGGAGACACTTGCATGCTGCCAGTGAACCCAGCTGAGGGATTATGCGTGTGTGTCCAGGGAGAGAAGGGAGTCAGTCTGGTCTGATACAGAACCAATTCATACTCAATTGCAAAAGGAAGAAAGATAGAAATGCACTTGAAAAAACTTCTCTTTGAAGAGGGGAGAAGAGAGCTGATTGATATCCTTTAGAGAAAAGGAAAATAAAGTAGACGAAAGATTATGGTTTGCTGATATTGAAAACATTCAGGGAGGCTTAATGCCAAACATTTTCATTTTTCCTCTGACAGGCACAAGCATATTTACTGTTTACGAAGCTGCTTCTCAGGAAGGCTGGGTGTTCCTTATGTACCGAGCAATCGACAGCTTTCCCCGATGGCGTTCATATTTCTATTTCATCACCTTAATTTTCTTTCTGGCCTGGCTTGTTAAGGTACTGAAAAATGTGTTCTTTTAAAACTGTCTGAAATGTAGATCATACTAGGATGAATTTCTTCTCTTTTCTGCTTGCTGAGCTTTGTGTCAGCCATTCTTTCATGTTGTTTTTTCAGAATGTTTTCATCGCAGTCATCATTGAAACGTTTGCAGAGATCAGAGTACAGTTCCAGCAGATGTGGGGGTCCAGGAGCAGTACTACTTCAACTGCCACCACCCAGGTGAAGCACCTGAGATACTGAGATTCTCTGGGGGCTTGGTTGGGGTTTGTTTATGAATGAATAATAAGCCAAAAATTCCTGTTAATGATTATTTTATCTGATTTATTTGACTTTTCATGCTTCTACATGTATTTTAAAGTTGATATATGAATTTTCGTATAAAATTAAATTCTAGAGTCTATGTGCAGCTAGGCTTTCCTAAAAAAGAATAATAGAGGAGACTGCAATATGGTTCTCTATATGGCTGGGTATATTATTGCTAGGTTTTTATTTTCTTTTAATGGAGTAGGGTAATGCTTTTTTAGCATGTCATTGGTGGGTTTGGAATTAGGTTTGCTGTTGAATATCACTTTCTGTGCTAAGGAAGAAGAGCTGAAATTGCGAGCTGTAGCTGGCAGAAGATAGGTCAGAGAGTAGCTGAACTGTTTGAGGAAGCCGGTTCTGGAACTGAGAAGGGCAGGTTGAGACCGAGGAGGAGTGAGGTGCTGAGGCAGTGAAAGATCCATGCTAATATTTGAGGCAGCCACAGAAAGTGAGACCCTGAATGTGAGATAATGGGTAGGAAGACGCCATGATAGGAAGGGTGCTATGTGTGGGCTGGGTGGTGTGAAAGACCCAGTATGAAAACGAAGGATTAACAGACTGAGATTTAAATTCTCCCGCTCACTGTTGTAACAGTCATATTATGTATCCTGAATGTACGAAAGGCCAGGCTTTTCCAGGCTAGTGCAGTTTGCCATGTATAAGAGGGACCAGTACTGACTGCCTGCAAAAAGCCCGTAGGAAGGCGGATGCAAGAAACATACACATAAGGAAAATTTTTCTAACCTCTGTAGCTAGAGATTATTTATTTTCTGAAGCCAGAGGATGAAGTGTTTCAAAATTATTTATTAAATATTTTCTGATATTCCTCTGGATATTCCTGTAATCCATATGTAAATCTAGTCCTTTCCTGCCTGCTGCTGTGTTTTTTGCCTCAAATAGACTTTGTGGCAATAATTTCTACTCTATATATGTCTTTGTCAGTGCAGATTTTGTGATATCAATTTAAAATATAACAAAAAAAGGTCTTTCCCTCGTTTCATCTCTGAGGGGAAAAATTCCTGAGCCACAGAGGCTTAATCGACATACTCTGAACTAGAAGCTGGAACAGAGGGATTAATGTAGGGGAAGTCCAGAAGCAGCCAGCGTTAAGGAATTTCAAAGATAAAAGAAATTTCCAAAATAATATTGTCATGCCAAAGAATATGAACATGTTGAATATAAGTTGCATCACGCAAAATAAAAATAGCATGTTGGTTGCAGGCAAGCAAATGGTTACTTTGTCCCTCGAGTCAGTGTCATAATAAGACATAAAGAGAGTCCAGCTTACCAAACTTCAAAAATTATTTCTCTTTTTCTGTGTTAGGAAGGGCAGAAAATTCTGTGCATCATTGCTTGTTCAAAGCACCAGATGAAAGTTAGGAACCTTGGATTTTTTGTATGTGAAATGACCTTGAGAAGAAGCAACAGTATCTTGTTTCATTTGCCCACTTCATAAATCATTAAACTGGTCCCGAAACAAAGTCCTATAGAAGAGAAAATGAGTGTCCAAGAGTCAAAGTCAAGGAAGGGATCTCTGGAGAAGAATGAAGGGAGGTTCTTGTAAAGCACTCCAGTGCTGCACGTTAAAGCGTGGTACCAAGAGGAGTAGCTCAGTTCTGATTTGAGCTGGCAACTCTTCCTGGTGCAGCGATGCTACTTTGCGTGACGCTGTCTCCAGTCTAATGAGCACTTCTCTCAGGATGGCTTTTAAGCTTCAGCCGCGCTGCTGTGGCTGTGTTCTCGAGGTGACTTGTTTGGGTGCTGGGTGTCAAGGAAAAGGTGGGACTGAGGTGAGAACTTCGGCACACAGCATTACGTAGTGTATACAGACTCTCAGGTGGCAATTCAAAATGCTACAGCCATTCATTTTCCTTCAAGGACATTTTCAAGGACAGTGATAATCACTTCCAGACATGGTTTCTCACTGTTCCTGATGTCCAGCAGTCTGCATCTTTTTATGTCCTGATTTCTGATTAAAGAAAAAAAAACCAACACAACAGAAAAGCCAGAATGCCTACACCTACACTTCCAGAGGTTACTGGTAAAATGTGAATACCACTGTGGTCAAGAGAGCCTTTACCACTAACATCATTAGAGCCAGGACATCATTCAGCTCTGCAGGAATTACAAGCTCTGTGCAACAGTACGGAAGGACTGTACAGCTACTCTTGATATGCATCAGTGAAGTAAAAATAAAGTCTGATCCTTGGAGTAAAATAAAGTTGCCATTAAAATGGACAAAGTTGTCTGTTATTTCCAAATGCACCATGAAATTTATTTTTTGGTCACAATGTATTTGTGTTGCCTCAGGGTGAGCTTACCTCAGTAAGGAATTTATTCTGAACAGGTACCACTGTCTAATGATACTGATCAGAGGTTAATAGAATCGGTTCCTACATTAGGACTAGCAGAGACACATTGTGTTTTATGTTATCTGAGTAAAATTCAGAATCTGTTCATGTTAGGAAAAGAGCACATTGTTTTTTTCTGTAGTGGTAAGAACCAATTCCCTCTTATTTTAAACTATCCATCATCAAAATGTGCGCAGGTCCTTAAGGGAAGTGTATTAGATTTCGCTTGTATTTATTGGCATGTAAAACATTTCTGACAACAGTTTTCCCTTTCAAGATGTTTCATGAAGATGCTGCTGGAGGTTGGCAGCTTGTGGCTGTTGATGTGAATAAACCCCAGGGCAGAGCTCCTGCGTGTCTACAGGTATGACGCTGCTTTTTAATAAATCAGTGTGTGTAACCACTACCACTCAAATGTTGGCACAAGGAGACTGTGGTGAGAAATAGCTACAACAGCTTTAGTCATAAATTTCTTTAAATCCGTTGCTTTCTGCGGTGCAGGCTTGTTCATGAAAATCACAGACTGACAAAGAAAGATATGCCACACCCAAAGGGATAAGATTAGAAAAATGCATTCCTTGTAAAGGCTGTATTTTGTGTGCTCATGAGAGAAAGATTTTAGATTTTTTAAATATGAAATAACATTAGTAGTAATCCTTTATTTCTCATACCTTGTATATGAACTGATTCCACTCCTAGGTTATTCACAACAGAAATGCTTGTTTATTAACTGCAAAGTACAATAACATATGCCAAGAAGCATGACTAATCATAATAAACACAGAAGTACGTCGTTTCTCTTGTTCCATCTTGAAAATAGGCTCACAGAAGAAGGGGGAAGAGGCATGTAGGTAGTAAGCCATAGAGTGTTTGAAACTTCCAGATTTAGTATTCTCAACTGGATATAGGCGAGTTTGTAAAACTCTATCCTCACAGTTTAAATAAATCCAGACTAAGATGAGTAATAATTTTATAAATCCCTTTTTTATTACAGCACATTTTACAGCAGCTCCAACTTTTATTTGCAGGATAAATAATGTCATTTCTGGATGAAACAAACTTGTTTCAGAGTAGAAAGCTAAATCTACTATAGCAATCTGATAGCATCATGTTTGCTGGCAGTTTTGGTTATGTTTGGTTTAATGTATAAACTAAAATACATGTACTTGTTGGCAGCATGTACATTGCTGAACACTAAGTTGGTGAGCACCTTTCATCCCCTCCGTAAGCTGTTCATTCTCAAATGTCTTTGCTTTGTCAAACCACTGCCATATACTTAATTATAGTATATGTCTTAACTGATAATTCCTCTTCCCAAATTTAATTCTTGGTTTTGACAGCAACAGGAACATCATTTGTGGTGTTCTCAAGTAACAGTCTCAGGTATGTGGATAAAATGTACCTGAACTCACAATGAAAACTCTAAGGGTTTGGGTGAGTTTTGTTCCTTAAGAGAAACATGGTGCCTAAATCTGAATCTAGGAAAGAGTTAAACAGTTTGGGGAATATATGTCCTGCCTTTAGGATACATTCAATTAATATGCATTCTTCTGACCTTTATTAGCTAAATATATTGTCATTCAATATCCTGTAAAAGATGGAGTTCTTAGAAAAAGGTAGTGAAGACTCTCTATTGCCCTGTATCATTTTAATTAAATTTTGCAGTTAAGTTTGGTTTTATTAATTCCTCTCTGGGCTCTGTAAATATTACTGCTTCAAATACGAAAGGGAACATTATTAAAAGTTCTGTACATGGGTCTGGGTCTGTGCTTTGGTGAAACTCCAGTTATTCAGTGTATTGAGTTATTTAGAATTTACTGCTTCAACAAGCTGTACTGTGCATCAGGAGAGGAAGTATCCTGGTGGCTAAGGAGAGGGAGAAGGACTCTGGAGATCTGGGATCAATTTATTGGCCAAGCATAAATTTCCTGTAGACCCTGAGAAAACTACTTAATAGGTGTCTTTGGTTTAGTTCACATTCCTTACAGTGTGTCTGTCCTAGGTGTGGCTACTGTGGTGTTTAAACCTATTAGTTAGTTGAGAGGCGCTCCAATAAGATGGGCTTGTGCTATCTATCTGAGTTGGTAAATACATACGTCCAGTTCTCTAAAGCAGGGAGTGGTGGGGGAAAGAATAATGTGATTTATGTGTGGTGTGTAACATAAAAACCTCCTCAATACAGGTTTTGGGAGACACTCCATGTGGACTAGCTGGATTTGCTGGGTTTTGCAACTTTGTCCTTTGTACAACCATGCTTGGTACAACCACAGACCAGGTCAGGGGTTTCGGCCTGGCAGGCCTTGCTAGCCTAGGTGGAACATTGCTATGGCACATGGAGCAATGCAGGTCTGGTGTTATTCCTGAGCAGACAATAATTCAGCCAGAGATGCTGCATAGGCTCTGTGCAGTACCTTTGTAGCTCGCTTCGTCTCACACAAACGCGTTGTTGTTGCACCAAACTGCTCAATTAGGTAAAACGAATAAGCAGGCTGACCATGTCTTTACACTTCTGTAACAGCTGATCTGCAAAGAGGGGATTAGAAGGGCGTTTCAGAATCTCACCTAGTGAGTAGTGTGCCTTGGTATGTCTCAGCTGCTGGGCAGGTGAGCACCGCTGTGCTGGCCAGGGTACCCCCGCTTGTCCCTCCTGAGAGCCCTCCTGCCTTTCTGGTGGGCGCGTGGCACACGGGCAGAACTGAACCAGCGTGTGCGAACAGATCTGGGACCTGCAAGGGGCTCTTCTATACAGCAGCGCAGCAGTTACAAGTAAGTAAGAGTAAGACTGAACGACGAGAGATGGGCAAGAAAGGTGGGCATTAATCTGTTGTTTTCAAAGAACTTCAACTCAGGCACCTATGTTTTCTTCAGATTTTCAGAAGTGGCTGGAAGTGGCAACATGAAAAATTAGTATCAGTATGGTTTCTGATTTTGACTTGCAAATCTATCCTGATGTGGGGCAAAGTGGCTTTTATTTAGGTATAATGGTTTTATATTTATTTTGTTTTTCTTTTGAGTGTTCCCAAAAGTGCTTTGTGGTCTTTTGTTACTTATTCTCACTGTTCTCAATGACTGGCATTGTTTTTAAATATTGATTTTCTTTTGTCACTGAAAAATAATCTTTGTGTTTTCCATTTCAACATGAACCATTTGGCATGAATGCATGCTGAGGCTCTCACATTGCCACATTATTTTGCTGTTGTTGATATTACTTTAACACATTGTAGTGTGTTAGAACTTCCTTCCTACCGTGATTTACTCCTACGAGCACAGTAGGAAGCTCTCAGTTCACAAATAAAGAAAAACTGAACACCAGGTTCCAGAAAAAAATCCTTTAAAAAACTCTTTCAGCATGTATGTACCCCTTTATTCCCAAGTTAAAGGCATAGTGTGTTTCTTATTATTCCTTTCCTGTTAATTTTAGAGGTTGTTGATGTTTTTATCACTCATTCTCTTTGTCTTCCTGTCTGCAAAGAGTTATAAAATACACATACTCATTTAAAGCTGAACAGGAAAGATTCAACTCAGGTGTCTTCTGTGAAACTGTGGTTTGTATTGCTAGCACCACAAGTAATGACATCTGCAGTCTTCTCAATACATGGTTTTGTAATGAACAGAGAAAGTCTGGAGCTGTGGTTCCTGGGGGGAACAGTGAACTGGACAGCAACTCCCTGTTCATTCTAATATTTTGGGGTCGTATGTCCAGTAGAAATGAAACGCACAGCTGGAGATGGGAATGATGTTTAGAAAAAGCTTGGGAACACTGTGTGTAATGTATTGGCTTGAATGGAAGTGGTCATTTACTCACAAACTGTATGTGCACTTGTACTTTTGACAGTAAAACCTTCAACAGATTAGAAATACTGTATTCACTTTTCATCATATGTGCTCCATCTAAGGAAGAAATAGAAGGTCACAAAGCTAGGATCCGAGCAAGCAAGTAACATTGTTATGATTACAGCACTCTTGAACATATGATTAATGTCAGAAATTTTGTCATATCTGTTTGCCTCAAAAAAAAAGTTAGTCCTTCATGCTACCCGTTATTAACTGAAGGTGTTACAGGATTCTGTACAGTTGCAGAATTTTAGAGAACCTTGAAGTAGAGACAAAAAAGTCAAAAGTAGTATTGAAAGACAGAAAACATATGGAGGATGGAGGAGACATGGCCACAGAAGCAGGAATTGAGTGTTTTAGCAGTTTCAGAATGGATATATTGAAAGAGAGAGAGAGAAATGAGACAAAACAGTACTTGGGGATTTTCACTGCAGGAGTAACAGAAGAGAGCACAAGTGGGTTTTCTTCTCTTTCATGGGAAATAATTACTGATGAACCAGAAAAGTGTGGTAGTCTATTTATACAGTAATTTGCCCTTTAGTGTAACTTTCGAATCAAGCAGATGGTAAGCCTGCTCAGTCCTGTTCTCTTCTTACCTACAGTGGCTTTCATTAAATTAAATACATATACAATACAATTCTTTTAATTAATTGAAATCCTTTCTTACAGTGAAAGAAAAATCTTCCCTTTCAGTTGGCTAAAATTAAGTTTTTATTTGAATGAGTTTATTATTGGAGTATATTATATAAGCTTATTCAGAAACAGATTAAATTGATTCCAAATCCTAAACTCCTGAAGCTGTCATAAAAAAAAAAAATTCTACTTCTTTTTCCTGTGCCCTGTTCTCATTTAGAAATCCTAGAAATTGCATCAGTTGGATAGTTCAGTAACGTACTTGGCACTGAAACAAGGCTGAAAAACAACCATATTAGTTTTACTGAGGAGACTCGGGAGCAGAGTATGCAAAGTGTAATGTAAAAGCAAGCTGTTAGATTTAGTGAAGTAAAAACGGTGAAAAAATATGAGGTAAAATGGAAGACTCTGCAGAGAAAGTAAATATGTTGGTAACAGAAGAACATGAACAAATAAAGTCCATCCCCATCCAAACTTCCTATTCTCGGTTGCATATGGGAAGACAGCAAATCCTGGGCATTATGAAAATAAAAAAATAAAAAAAGAGAGAGGCTTCCAGTATTTTCCACTTGTATATAAGGTATGGGAAGAAATGGTGAAAGTGTGGTGAATGGAGTAAGCTCCAACATCTGGCTCACTCTTGGACTCTGACTGGGCATTCACAAAATGAGCTGTTGTTAAGCCTGTGCTCAGTGTCGGCTTTGTGCCATTTCAGGTGAGGAAGGTAAAGCTGTTCCCCCATCCTCTGCTGTCTGCTTGCCCCCTGTTTTCAGGGACTTTAACCACAGTAACAATGGCAGCTCAGTGAGTTTACTCCTGGGACACCTCAGCTCACTGTCTCATCTGGTAATGTAAACTGATGTTCACTTCAGTTGACATTATTAAAAGAAATTATGA